TTGGATGATGATGCGGCAGTGGTCGTGGTGCTGCTTGAGCTATTGAGAGATTTAGAGCCACCGTCTATGCTACCATCAAGCTTAGGAAGCAATTAGGTGGAGTTATTTAAGAAGTCTTGGTATTGCTCCTCCGTAATTTGTGAAAGAAACTCCTCATCTGCCTGTCTATTTCACTTGATTGGTTACATTGCAGTTTAGGTCCTACCTAATTAATAATTAATTTAAATAATTTTTAACGCCTAAATCTAAAATTAAAAAAACTAAACCCAAAACCTAAACAAAAAAACTAAACCCTAAACCCTAAACCTAAAAAACCTAAAAATAAGAAAAATAAGAATCCTAAACCTAAGAACCAAGTAAATCATTAATATTCATGATGATGACATCATCAATTAACTTTTAATAATTAATTGAGGTAGGATCTAGGACCTAAACTGCAATGGAGATGTCAGAGACAAAGACAGCCAAAGGTGGGAAGATAATGTTATTTTTCAAACTGTTATAGTGCGCTATTGCTACGCGCAAAAGCTACCATGGGAATGCTTTGCTGTTGCTAACTGTTGCTAAGTAAACTTCTTGTTTATTTTAGTACATGGTAGAAGTTGGTTATACAACTCTGTGTCGGTATCTATCACCTTATCATACCTCAGGCCTATGGCCCTCGGTATGAATGCCATAGATACCTCCACCTCATTGTATAACCTATACTTATCCTTATACATGTACTTGTACAGAGGATGAGAAGGAGAAGCAGCGGAATCGCCAGTTGCAAAAAGAGATTAACAGATTAAGGGAAGAAGAGACCTCCTATAAACTACAGATAAGAAAAGTGAGTAAAAAAATAAAATCCATTCGATTCTATTAATTATGAATTGATGATGTTATAATAATATCCTTCTTATACTGTACGTGTAGCTACAAGAGGAGGTAGCTGATCTATATAAGAAGTACCGTTTTGAGACTGATGCAAGGTAAAGCACAGCTATGTACTTGGTGATGCTATTCAGATTGTTCCATTTTCATAGGAAGCTTCTGATTGCAGACTACAATGAGTTGAAAGCTAGACAAAACGATGATCAACAAGATGAAGAAGTAGTCATAGAAAAGGAAGACCCGGTTATTTTGAAATTGAAACTAGCGTATGTTAACATGCTTCATACAATAATGTAATATTTTTTTATAAAGTCGTGCCAAGGAGGACCTTCATATTGCCAACAAACGCATTAATCAAGTAATGGCTGATTATGGTGACGTTGTTCCAAGGAGAGAATATGAATTGATTGAAAGTTCCTACAGAGTAAGATAATGATTATTTGCAATGATGTATGTGTGTACATGTACATTTTATATTGTAGAAGGCAGAGAGTGAGCTTGATGCAGTGAAGTCCCAATATGCTAATATAATGGAAGAATATAAGTAAGTACTAGAGAGATGACAACGGGACACGACTTAATATTATTTTTAACTTTTTCTTTGATGTTAATGTTAATGATCTAATGCTTGGAAGCTTCAAGGAAATACCAACTATGCCTCTATGTTTAAACATCAAAGGAGGTGTTTATTTGTTATTTCTTCTAGTTCTTCTACTATGCACACTTGCAATTGACCAATGAAATTGCAGTATTGTGGGTCATATTAACCTAATCTAGCTCATTAAATTAAATGGTACTACGCCCTATAATCAGACCCGATTCTTCACTTGCCTAGCCTGTTACTGTAAAGTATGTTGTTATCAGCAGCTGGTAGTTACACCTCAGTATCGGTTTTTATGGCATTTATTAACCTCACGACTCCGACATGTCCCTTGGTTAATAAATCCCATAGAAACCTCTGCCTCGGTTTATAATCTATGCTAATACTATAGAGAATATGCATAGAGCACTGTTTAATTAATGAGCTAGGTTTATAATTTTGTATAATCTATACACTTATGCTCATGATTATAGTTCGTTGTTGATCATGTATAAAGAGTTGGAAAGGAGGAGGGATATGTCAATGGAAGAGCTGGAACAAATCAAACGGTCTGCTACACCAAGGTAATCAATCATCACTAGCACAACAGCACACAATAAAAAATATTATGTAATGTGTTGATTATTAATTACTCGTAGACCTGATTGGTCTCGTTGCGGTGAGTTCTTTAAGGGAGGTCCAGAGAAGTGGGCAGAGATAAGTGATGGTTGCTCTAGTGATGAACTGGTTGATGTTCTGTTAGCACAACTTGCCGGAGTAGATATTAACGATATACTGAAACGTGAAGCATTCCATGGACAGGTAATAATAGAACAACTTGTCTTTGTAAATAAAATTACGATCACTATGCTATATAATTTGTATCTTATTATGCTGCATAGATGAATAATGGTACATGTATTTGTATAGGGTACTAGTGAGAGTGTCCCTAAATACCTCCAGTGGGAAGGAGAGGTTATCAATAAACGCATCAAGAGAGCCGAGTTGGAGGACATGATGTCAGGATTCTGGGAGCACTGGCTATTAAAGATATCAAAAGGAGATGCCACCACCAAAGACAGCCTTGACGAAGTGCTGTATCAATATCTGCTGGCACGCAATGAAGGAGTGGTGAATAGTGCTATAGAGAATGGGTATAATTTAAAGGACGCCTGTGATAGGTTTCAACATATACTCCATGTGAATTTGTTCAGCTCAATACTGGCTGGAGACATGGATGCCAGCATCTTTTTGAACTGGATCTCATTGCAAGTCTCACTTACTGAGAAACTAAAAGAAATTTGTAACTCAGACAATGAGGTAAAGTGTACATGTACATGCATCAACTGTGATGGTTGTTGTACTTGAAATGTATACTATAACATTGATTACAGTTCTCATCAATGGCAGGTACCAATATCTCAGCTAGAAGAGCTTCTCAAGTCCTTCTTTCCTACAAAAACTGAAAATATGATAGTTTTACTAGTCGAGTGTGCTAAAAGTCTTGCTAC